CGTTCATTCCTTCAAATGAAGGTTATAGCCAGATTCAAAGTAAATGTTAAGTTCGTGCGAAGTTGTATTTGTATTTAATATTTTTTTCTAAATCTTTAGTTGCAAACATTATTTTCCCAAATGAGCCAGATCAATACATTTTTCAAAATTGGTATTTTTCGAAGCTGATGTGTTTCGTAAATTTTCAGAATTTGTATGATGAATCTGGTGCGAAAAGCACGAATTTTGCACATTTTTTTCAATCCAAGATCACTTATCCCTTCTCTTCCTCATTGGTTTGCCAGTCTCTTCTTAACTGGCTATTGCACTTACTTTTTGCTCGTGCAGCGATAGTTGCACAATTCCTTTCTTTCTTAACTTTTTTCATAACGCATTATATATATATATATATATATATATATAGACAGTGCGTTACAAAAAAAAAGTTCATCTTGCTACCAAGGTATCGAGAACGTTATCTCTTAATTGTTTTGATCCTTAAAATATCTTTTAATAAAGATAAATCATGATGATCCTGAACGGCCGGCTTATTTATGCGCTAATCTGCTACGGATATTTAGCCTAAGACCGGAATTTATCTTAATGTTTGATCGATTCCGTGCTTGAAAAGAACTAAAAGCAGTGATTGATGGCTTGCTTCCTTCTGTAGTTTCAATATCACTCTTCACATGATAAAAGAAGAAAGAGAAATTTGAAAATTTTGGATTTTAATCTTTCGAACTTTGCTGAAAACCCATCTCTAGTAAGGTTCGAACGATTAAAACCATCCTTAAACGTCGCAGTTTTGGAATATATGAGCGCAAAGCTAAATAGAGAATTCGACTTAAGTTCACAGGTTACTATTTTTGGTTCTGGTACTTCCTTGTGTGCTCGAGTTATCTGGTGTTCTAACCTGCAAAAATCTGTTTCCGTTTTCTAGTTACAAAATTAATCCGAATTTGGATACAACATCACTGGTTAGGACTTAAACTCAAATGTGAGTTGACTTCACGTTTATGGCCTAACAAAAGATCGGCGAATGTTTTTCCAAAAATTTTGGCCTTTTAGCTTTCACAATCTCCCCATAATGCGTTTTTCTGCACAATTCGTATAAAGATAAATGAAATTTTTATAATGCGTTGCCAAAATCTTAGTTAGCAATGCCTCACTTATTCATATAAAAGTTCCGAGACTGTTCATGTGGGTCCAAATTTCTGAACAAGTTAAATGAAACGAAACGTGCTGCTTAGCATCGTTAAGTGAATGACTAAAAAAATCAGAAAGTAATGATGAGAAATCACTGCAGATTGCCATTCAGGTTATGACTTCCAACATTCACTTTCCTGTACAGCCTACCGTGTCTTAGGTTGTTCTGTTTTTCTGTAATACGAGATTAATTGTTTATCAGATTGCCATACAATAGCTGTTATAACAATGGCACGCGCTCACTAACACATGTTATTGGTATCACATTACACCACAACATTTGGCTGATATTATTGTCCTTCGTTTTGGTCATATGGCCTCAGTTATGCTATTGTTCAGCACAGTTTACTTCATTTGCCCTTCTCTTTCACTCCACCGCAATTCATTATCCTCAGAGGAACACATGCAGCATACGCTGAATATGCTGAGGAATAATTTAAACTCAACATAGTAGAAACACTCAGTTCTGTAACATTTCTTCCACTTCGAACTGCTTATCAGATAACAGTAACAATGAGAGTGTTGTAGAAACACAGTAGGACTGATTAAATGAGAAAGTATGACACATAATATTTTGTCGCTTAATGTAGATTTGATCCCGACGACAGTTGATTGGGCTATTTAATGGAAGTATGATATAAGCTCCTTATTGCCATTTTTAGTCAGCAGAATATGGGCCAGCCTTTCCTTATTTAACAATTTAGTATGTAATCTAAACCAATGAAATTTAAAAGGACGGAACATGCCAACTAGGGCATTGCGCCTGCTGAAAGCTTAAATAAATCTACACTCACTTTCCAAAATTTGGTGGCTACACACTTTGGTGACTATAGCCACTGCTTTGATATACACAGATCTGCAGTAGATGTCATCCGTTCGTCATGATTACAGATGTGAGAGGCTGTACTGGAATTTCAGTCTCGATCATGTAAGGGACTGTAGCGTTGGCACTAAACTCAACAACCAGCTGCCTTTCGCACCCGTTTCATGAATTTTGCCTGTTTGCAGTTACCAAGGACAAATCGGGGGGCGATATTATGAGGTGGTTCCGGAGGGTATGATGGAGAAGAATGATCAGTTGAGACGAAGAGATTTAGATGGGGGATGGATGAGTACTGTGACAATGCCAAAAAAATATATAACACTCGGGTTACGGAATGAGCGAACGGCACTGACTTAATGGGTTGATTGCAATCAGTTTCAGGCAGGAAGGGAGTGCACCTTTATTTGCGTAGGCGATCGCCTTGACTGCTTCTTACAGTATACCTCAACCTAAGCAGAAGATGCGGAGGTGACCCTTAGGTGAGCTATTGAGCTTTTACGGCCCGCTGCACGCATTTAGTTCTGTTTACTCACTAGATGATCCACCTGTAGATATGCAATAATGCTAAATGGATTTGAGCGGAATTTCAGAAGGCGGTTTTACGAGTTATCTTAAAATGTACTTTATAAACCATATCTTAAAACATCTTTGCGCCTGTTACTAGCTCTCGTCTTCTCTGTTTTTTCGAAAAAAAAAAAACTGTTTTTTGACTCTTAACAGATATGCAAGCACATTAAAAAACGGATTTTTGCGCCTGTAACTGTCTGTTACATGACCGGGGATGAGAATGAGGAGAGGATGGACGAGC